TGTGGAAGGAGTTAGGTCTGCTTGTTTACTGTCACTGATATCAACCTCACCAGCTACAACATGATTAGCCCATTTAGAGGGAGGGCCATGTAGATCATAACAGAAATTCACCGTGTGTCCTTCCCTGCCACAATGAGTACACTTCCTTGCAGAGTTACTCTTTCCTTTTCCACGGCCTCCCCCTGAGTCACGACCACCACCCCAGCCAAACATGGAACTGCCACGGCCTCCTCGGGAGGTATCTCCTTCCCCTCTTGTACCATGTCCACTTCCTCTAGCTGTCACAAGTGCTGATCTATCAGACTGTGTGGGATTCTCTGTCTGTCCCAAAGAAATCCTACGAAGCCGTGCAAATACTTCCTCAAGAGTAGRAAGGGTAGAGCTCCCTAATATTTAGGCTCTAACTAGTTCATACTCCGATTTCAGCCCCACTAAGAATCTTGTAACATCTAGTCGTTCCCTCTGTTGTTACTGAACTTTAACATCTGAAGTGAGGGGATGATAGACATTGAGTTCATTCCTTATATTCTTCGTGCAGACATAGTACTCTTCTAGGGTTTTATTTCCTTGTTGCAAATCAAAGTATTCCTGATAAAGTTGATATACCCTTGTAGTTATCTTGTCCAGAATACAATTTCTTAGCATGTTCCCATATATCCTTAGTCGTATCTAGGAACATGAAGTTGGCACTAATTTTGGGTTTCATACTATTCCATAGTCAGGTCATGATTTGAGCATCCTCTTGTTCCCAATCATCAAACCTTGGAGAGTCAGCCGGTGGTTTATCTTCTTTTACATGCTTCACTTTCCTCTTTGCCTTGAGGAAAACTTCCACTGATTTGGCCCATGGAACATAGTTCTCCTCATTCAGTTTAATTGAGGTCATCTGTACACTTAGGTAGGCAGAGGGAACCACCACACTAGGTTTCTGATCATTATGCCCATCTCCCATTGCTGCCATGGTATTCTTTCACCGTTGCCTCTAACCTGAATTCTCAGCTACAAACTGAGTGTTGTTATTAGGAGTTTGATGTTCCAACACCTATAGCAGCCCCTAAACACAATAATAGGTACACAAGCCTTGTTCTTGTTCACACTACTACTGATTTCACAACACCACGAACCACATAAACATCAATTCAACACTTACTAATCACATGCAAGCCCTCTTACAACCACTCAATAAAAATTGTGCATCACAAGCACCACCACATATTCATATCTATTACACCCGGTACAGACCTGTTTAACACCTTTAAGAGGGCACCACACGACCACAAGGGACTCAGCTAGGTCACTGCATTACACTTTACACCACTCGGCCACTTACAGCAGCCCTTACACCACTCGGCAACTTACAGCAGCCCCTACACCATTCGGCTACTGTACACACAGCCCGTTCTTGGGATTTTCTCCAAGAACTAGGGCAACAATAAACCTAGTTCTCTAGGTTCTGATCAATACTAGCAGGTTCTTGAAGATTTTTTACCCAGAAATACCAGCAGCACAAGGAGAAGAAATAACTGACGACCTTTTGAGAGTCTCAACCAACCATTCACTGCTGAGGTCGTTTTCCTTAATGAAGAAGGTTATGCGCAGCAGAGAGAGATGAGCTGAGATGTTTCAGACCTAGGACGAACCAGCTTTCTCCATTAACAGCCCAGAAACGAAGAAAGAGAGGACACGAACACTGCTGAGATGTTTCACGAACTGAAGTAGGTCAGGAACCTTGCTCTGATACCATGTTTCGACTGCTGCTACAGTAACCCGAACCGGCAAGAGGAAGAAGAAGAGTAGAAGGAAAAGAAGGGCTGTCGAATCTGATAGGTAAACCCTATCAGTCGACCCCTTAATAGTAATTAGTCTCTAATAATTTCTACAAAGACTAAACTGCCATTACTTAAGTGTGGGGCAGAGTGTCTCTATAAAACTGCCACATAAGCATACAACTTAACGAAGATAAGATGACTAAAATACCCTTATTCGGCTCACTTTAACAATATGGGATGCTATGCAGACAATGTCATAATTGTTATTTAATACTTTTCACCTAACCTAAAATTTACTATGTTCTCTTTGTGACAGTTAATTATCTTGCATTTTTTTCTTTTTCTTTTTTTGCAACATGGAAGTTTGTTTGCTGGTGTTTGTTTATCATTAAAATGTGTTTTGAAGTGTTTTGGGCTTTAGTGCCTAGGGCTACTCTGAACATTTTACTGCCTTTTCCTTGTGGTGTTTTAAGTTGCTACTTTATCCATTATTTTGCATCATGTACAGCTACCAGCAACTCTGCATCCAGGTGTTACAGTTGTTGTGTGCCCCTTACTTTCCCTCATTCAAGATCAGATTGTTACTCTGAACCGTAAGTTTGGAATACCAGCAACATTTTTGAATTCTCAACAAACTGCTTCCCAAGGAGCAGCAGTCCTCCAAGAACTGAGGCAAGAACCCTTTACTTTTGTGTTTTTTTCCTTTTATTTTTCTTGTGAAAAAAAAACTTCGTTTATGAAATTTGGCAGAACTACTTTGTTACTGTTCAATTGTTATGATCGTTCCACTGTCCAGTTAAACTTTATATTCCATTTTCTAGGAAAGCTAAACCATCATGCAAGCTCTTATATGTCACTCCTGAAAGGGTTGGCGGAAATCTATCATTTATTGAGGTCCTAAGAAGCCTACACCAGAAGGCAAGTGTTTTGAGTTTACATTTAAATCTGATAATATTTTTATTTGCTACAGAAAGTTCAAATGTTTGCGGCTATCCATCAGATATAGTGCTTTGGAGGAACCTAACCATTATAACGTAACAGGGACAGCTAGCGGGATTTGTTATTGATGAAGCACATTGTGTAAGGTATATTTGCTCTTTGGTTCATTAGTAATGGACTTTTTGCTACTGCTTCTACTTATGCATATTTAGGGACCAATCATTAAATCAAAGATGAAAGTGAGATGACCAATAGGCGGACTGCCATTAGGAGAGGTCCTAGGAGAAAAGTCAGATTTACTGGATATTTCAAACTACCCATTTAAGTTCATAACATTCTCCAAGCAAGAGATGGCCTGCCAATTTAATGTTTATGATTTCTGCATAGTCCTTGATATTTTCATTAGATGTATGACATTTTTCTCTCATTTAACCTGAGAAACCCACTGCTTATTTACTTTCTAACTTAATATCCATATCTAGCTCAAGAATCCCACTGATATTTCCTTCTTTATATATCAGCCAGTGGGGACATGATTTTCGTCCAGACTACAGAGGATTAGGATGTCTTAAGCAGAATTTCCCAGATGTTCCAGTGATGGCATTAACTGCAACGGCAACCCAATCAGTTCGGAAGGTAATAAGATTATAACAAGGACTTTTTATGGGGTTCTGGGTACTGAGTAAATTTGTCCTAATTTTGATGATTGCAGGACATCTTAAATACTTTAAGAATTCCCCATGCTCTTGTTCTTGAAACAAGCTTTGATAGACCAAATTTGAAGTATGAAGTAGTAAGTAAGACCAAGGATCCACTGAAACAGCTTGGACAGCTACTTAGAGATCGTTTCCAAAATATGTGTGGAATTGTCTACTGTCTTTCAAAGAATGAGTGTGTGGAAGTCTCAGCTTATCTGAACGAGAAGTGTAAGATACAGACCGTATATTATCATGCTGGGTTGGCTGCACGGCAAAGAGTTGCTGTCCAAAGAAAATGGCATACAGGAGAGGCCCATGTTGTATGTGCCACAATTGCTTTTGGAATGGGGATAGACAAACCTGATGTTGTAAGTCCATATCTGCGGATAAAATGCTTGACCTGCAGTATAAGGTGTGCTTTTATTTATTTATTCTGATATTTTTGGGTGTTCTCAATTCTTCCAGCGTTTTGTTGTCCACAATACAATGTCCAAATCCATAGAAAGCTATTACCAGGAGTCAGGAAGAGCAGGAAGAGATGGTCTTCCGGCAGTATGCATTGCCTTGTACCAAAAGAAAGATTTCAGCCGGGTTGTTTGTATGTTAAGGAGTGGACAAGGATGTAAAAGTGAAAGCTTTAAGACAGGCATGATGCAAGCAAGAAAAATGCAACAATATTGTGAACTGAAGGTATTTTCATTTCTTGATAGTTTAATGCAGGAAGCCATTCCACATGATTTCTTGTAGTGCATTCTACTTCGATAGCTCAGTTCAATCTATAGATTCTCTAGGTCCATCCTATCTAATCAGTTCTCAGATCATAGATTTCCAGCCTTTTTTTTTTCACACCAAAGTATGTGGATTTTTCAGACTGAATGTCGGAGGCAAACCCTACTGGAACACTTTGGAGAGGCCTTCAACAGAGATGGCTGTAAATATGGTCCTAATCCCTGTGATAACTGCCTCAAGGTATCCAAATGAGCTAAGATGGTTATACTCCCACCGGTTGAGGTGGTTCAAGTTCCAGGAGTACCTGTTGTAGCTTCACCAGCCAAACATCAGTGTCAGTTCCGAGCAACAAGGGGTGCGTGGGATGTTGGGTTATTATTAATATTTCTATTCCTATTTGCTACATTTGTAATGGAAGCATTTTAGTAGAGTGCTGGCCTGTGGACTAAAGAAAAAACTCTTGGTTATCATTATGGCTAGGGCGCTGTGTGGGGGTGATCTGTGATCAACTGATCATGACCCTTGCACCTGGAATTTTGCGCATGAGCTAGTAATGATCACCCCTAGCGCTGTGAAAATGGTTAGAGATGCTCTTGCAGAAATTATTTTGCTGGACTTCTTGTAATATTGCTCTTAATTTCCAGCATCCTTTTTCTTTATCTTTCTTTTTCCATTTGCCCTTAGGCTCAGTTTTGAAGGAGTACATGTATAATGCAAATACATAAAAAATAGTATAAAATATAAGGTTTTACACTCTAGATATTTGTAAGAAAATGTTACAATTTTGGGAAAAAGTACACGCGTCAGGTAGCTAAAGTTCATTAAGCCCTAGGGATACATGGTTTCAACATGAAACTATGAATGGTTCATTTTCTCTCCATTAGTGAAATCAAGTATAGAATAACAATTACTCAATCAATAAATCACCAAGTCTTTTGATAAGGTAAATCTACCCTCCTAAGGGATTAATGTTAGATGAAATGTATTTAGGTCCTGTGCGCTTTTCATTAAGTTACTTATTTGGGTAAATGTATTTACCCAGGTAAGTGTTTCCTAAGAAAGACTTACCTGGGTAAGTGCATTTGTCCATGTTCTTTAATTTCTCATGTAAACAAAGTAATGATCATTTGTCATAAAAATTCATTATTAAAAGGGGTAATTTTGTCACATTCAAGTGTTGCTAATTTCTCCCATAGTTGGAAAAGTTATTTATATACCTAGGAGATGGGTATCTAGGAAAATAAACTTTTCCTGGTCCCTACATAAATCTGAAAAAAGAACATGGGGTTCTTGGTCAATGGGAATCAAAATCCCATTGACCAACTTCCTCCCTCTCAAAATCCAAAAAAAGAACACCCCCTTAGGGTAAATTGCTGAAACCTCTCCTGAAGTTTCTAACCATTGCTGAAACCTCTCAGTTGCAAGTAGACTTCTGATGGAATCTTTAAAAAAGACAAAAATGTCTAAGATACCCATGCAATTACTATTTGAGGCTGGTTTCTATAGAAAAAAAATGCAACTTTATAAATCACAAAAAATAGAGAATTTAAAGTTGCATATTTACATTTGAGGCTTTTGAGTGATTGATATGAAGGGTAAATTTGAAAAATAAATCAATTTTAGAAAAGAGATTAGATTTGGAAGGGCTTAGGCTAATGGTTGTGTGAAGAAAAAATTTGGAAAAATAGCATTTTGGTTTAAAATTAACTGCATGGGTATTTTAGACATTTGCATGCCCTTTTTTAGAAGATTATGACAAAAGGGGTTAACTTGCAACTATATTAGAAAGTTCAGGCAGGATGATTATAATTACCATGGTTTTCAAAATCGGACTGGACCGAATGGTCGAACTGGAAAAACCGAGAACTAGTCAGGTGACTGGTTCCATTTTTCCCAAAACCGGATTTCCTGGTCAGTGAACCGCTGAACCGGGCGGTTAACCATTCGAACTGTTCGAGTGGTTTTGACCGTTTTTTATTTTTTTGATTTTTTGATTTTTTGTCAGAACGGGTCGAATGTTCGATTCGAACGGTCGAACCGTTCGACCCGGCAACTGAACCCTTGACTAGTTTGATCACTGGGTTGGTTTTAAAAACCATGATAATTACTAAATTCAAGGGAGGTTTCCACAACAACCAGAAACTTCAGGGGAGATTTTAGCAATTTCCCATGAATTTAAAAAAAAAAGCATTTATATTGTCATTTCTTTCCTACTAATTAGAAAATCTTTATAAGAATTGATTTAAAAAAGTCCAGATCTATTTCTCACGGTGCACGCCTTACACCGTCCTCACAGCATGTCTTGGCCGCACATCAGGAACATCTCCCATACTTAAATTTAGGGAAAATTCCCGCTGTACTTTAGGCCAAGTGCCAATTTAATACCTGAACTTTAAAATGCCACAATTTAGTACCCTAACTTTCATTTTGCCACAATCGAGTACCTGGCGTAAATTTACCATTAAGTGTCATGGGAAAAGACACAAATGCCCCTTAAGTTTTATCTAATTTTTTATTGTTCACCGCCACTGTTCATCGTCTCCTTCGTTGAACACCGCCCCAACGTGGCTGCTATGCCACCGTGAAACTCCTCCTCCTCTATAAGAATGAGACCGTAAAACTCATTTGCCTGTACCTTCGCAAAGCTACAGAGAGAGAGAAGAGCCCCAAGAGAAGAGAAATATAGAGAGAGATGGAGATGGGACATGCAAGTGCAACTCCGCCTGCATCTGCTGCCACCGGATTCGGGGGATGGAATTCTTATTACCATACCTCTTCTCCTCCTCCGGGGGAAACCCATGAACCCAATGAGGAAACCAGCATTAGATAACTCGACTGTGATGATTGACGAGATCAACTTGCTTAAAGAGAAGTTGACAGAGAAGGAGAAGCAATTGGACATGGTTCGGGAAGAGAACGAGCTCTTGAAAAAGAAGGTGAAGGAGACAGCGGTGAAGCCTGCTTCTTTTCTAGTTATGGAGGAGGAATCCGCTCTGAAGAAACACCAGATGACCTGACCACTTTCGGCTACCTTCATCTGTTTTGACCACCACTTGTCTAGCATCGTTGAACAACTTTAATGCGGCAGAGGACTGGGAACACTATCAGAGCTGAAGTGGGAAGTGGAACATGTGGATCAGTAGGTACATCTTCGTTGTGATTTAGAAACACCAGAAGATATTGAGGGTGCAGACAGAGCAGTGGAGGAAGGCAGTCGATGCAGCAACGGCGGTGTTGGCCGACGGAATGGAGATGAAACTGAGGAGAAAACAACAAAGCCCACCAGCCCACCGCCCGACACCAAGTACAGGGTTGTCATCCTCATGCCCGGAGACAACGAGCCAACATTCATCGCAAAGCCCGTCTCTTCACCCAACATTAGTAGCAGTGATGAACAGAGCCCCAAGAGAGAGAAATACAGAGAGAGATGGAGATGGGACCTGATGCCACGACTTCCATTGCTTTGATGCCCGACTTAGTTGCGGCTTGACAAATGCCCCCTCTGTTTTTCTCTGCTGAAGCACTAAGAACACTGCACATCAAGAACTGTCCTCAGTTGACTTGGACGCCATTTTCGCCATCGCCATGTCTTCTACAACAGCTTGAGGAGTTGGAGTTAGAAGGTGACGTAGGGGGTTTTTCAAGATCATTACCGTCAAATAACAAAATAAAGGTATCGACTATATGGTCTTCACCTTTTGAGTCACTCCCCAGTGATCTGGAAAATTTAACGGCACTTCAAACCTTGTGGATCCGCTTTTGCTACTTTATTATGTCCATTCCTGTCGAGTTGCAACGTCTCACATCGCTACCGAAGTTGGAGATTTATCATTGTCATCTACTAGAAGAACGTTGTAAGAAAGAAGCAGGAGAAGACTGGATGAAGATATGCCGCATCCAACGGCGAGCCTCCTGTATTCTGTTTCATTTTCTTGAGAAACAAGATGATAAACAGTGTATTTTTAAGAGTAATTTTGGCATTTTCAAAATTCATAAATTATACGTGAGGTCATGTGATATACATAAATGATGGTCCATTAATGGTAGGTACGTTATGAGCGCGCTCTGTTAGGAGAAGATCCCAATTCGTTTAAGAAACGCTGTCTGAATTAACGCTGGTCGCTGGTAATTAATCTTGCACATGTAATAAGAAACTTGTGCATTTGCATGTAAATTTAATTCTTCTATTTAAAATGTTAAGCAAGGTCACCAGAGGAATGCTTTCGTAGTTACCTATTACCACTCTCGAAGGTGAAAGAGTTCTGCAAAAGACAAAGAAAGCAGAACTCTTTCTCCTTTATCCACTATTCATGTGTATTTTTACTGTTACTAATTCTTTGTATTCAAATTTCTGGATCGAATGAAATATATTTGAAAAAAACGGAGAGAGAAAGAAGAAGAAGAAGCAGAAATAAGCGAACCCCTTCTTTATTGTCACTTATCACATACGTATAAGACATAAGACGAATTAAATAAGAAGAAAGAGAAGACCCATGAACCATGATTTCATGAAACTACAGCGATATTACTGGCGACCCCTCCTCGTTGCCGTTCGTCTCTGTATTACGAATTAACTATTGATTGAATTCAGATGCTGAAGCCTCATCTGCTCGTAGAAACGAGCGATGAACTCTTCAGCCTTTGCATCGATCATTTCGTCCCCGTTGTCATCATCTCCGTCCTCATCCTGCTCGCTCCTATCAAGCTCTTGGAGGTTCTGCGCCGAAGCATAGCGACTCATGCTGTCGGTGGAGCTCGAGGGGGTCAAGGTAGTTGACTTGGGCGGCAACGGCAACGAGGAGGGTTGAGGGTGCACGTCCTGGAAAGCTTCCACTGTTGTGGGGTTGTTTTCAATGGTTATGGGCGGCAGTGGGGATTGGTGGTGGAGTTGCAAGAGGCGCATTGCACCCAGAAGTCTCTTCCATAGGCTCTTGGTAGCAACCCCAACATGGACGGAGTTAGACTTTCCGGCCGACCGGTGTCGTAGCATAAACAGCGCTATCTTGATCAGGTTCAGTGGGCCATTCTTCTTCTTCTTCATCTTCTTCTGTTTCAGCGAGGGGGAGACAGGTTCTTGTTCATTATTGTTGTCGAAGGTGTCTTCTTTCTCCATCACAAAAGGGGAGAAAGAGAAGGACACCTGCTTTTATGTGTATGCGTCTGATATCCCTACCCTGCCTTAAGCAGGGCAGGGAGAGAAGAGAAGAAGGGGTCGAAAACTGAAACTACATCGCCATTATTTATAGGCAGATGAATTCCTTCGGTTTGCCCTGAATTACCATACTACCCATCACCGTTACACCTTAACTCGCGAGTAGGAATGTAGGATAGTTTCGAGTTTTCATAACCAGGTGAGTCAACTAGGAGACTTGCCACAGTCGAGTTGTTGATGAAACGAATGAAGACTGAGTCGAAGGGTTGAGGGTGGAGCGATTGCCTAGGTAATTTGCTTTTAGCTGGAGGGGGGCAAAATGTGGGGGCGATGTCTGGGGCGACGGAATCGGAAGGGTTGAGGGTGGAGCGATGTCTGCGACTGCTGTTTTGCTGTTTTAGGGGAATGGCTTGGCTGGTGGGCCTGGTCCCCGGTGGTCCCTCGTCATCGACCACTCTTGATGCGGAATTCTCGGGCGGTGCAACCCAAACAATACTCGTCACTTCGTCAGTCGTCACCAACGCCTACGAACGAACGAGTCGTCTTCCGCGTCAATGCGTTATATTACTCAACCATTCACCAAAAAACCTGGTCTAATCATGAGCCGACCCGGGCCAGGCTTCTGGGTCTATAACTTTTAAATATAGTGCCTGAATGGAGCGGAAAGGATTTTTTTTTTAACTTCCCCGACCGCTTTTTTCCTCAAGGTTTAGGTCTATTACAGATTTAAAAATAATAATTACAATTTTGAGGGTTAAAGGAGCATTAGAGTGATCCCGTAGTTCAGTTCAAGATTTGGGGGGCCAAGGACCCACTTTGCTACTTTTTAAATAAGCCTCCTTTTACCAGTTATATGATGTGTTTGGTTTGAAGGAAAAAGTAGGAAAACCTATGGCAAAGACCATGGTTTTCAAAACTAGATTGAAACAGACGGTCGTACCGGAAAAACTAGGAATCGGTTAGGTGATTAGTTTCAGTTTTCTCTAAAATCGGATTTTCTTCAAAAAATCATTGATTTTAGTCAGCAAACCGTTGACTGGGCAGTTAACCATTTAAATTGTTTGACCCATTCGAACAGTTGACCGTTTTTTTTTTTGTCATAATGGGCCAACCATTCGGTTCGAATAGTCAAACCGTTTGACCCAGTAACCAGACCCCTAACTGGTTCGGTCTCTAAGTTGGTTTTAAAAACCATGGCAAAGACCCCCACAAATATACTTGTCTCCGCCCCTATTAGGAGGGTTTTATGGATGTGGTTTATGGCGTCCAAATAAGGTAGTCTCCACACAAACAGGTGCGACTATGATATAGAAAATATATGATATCTAAAAAACAAGTGACTAATAAAGTGGAATCATTAAAGTAATAGCAAATAAGGTGTTACTTATCAAAATTTATGGGCGGGTTTTGTTTGATCAAAACTCTTTTCATACCATATTTTTTTCGCATCATAGATTTATCCCAAACAATAAAGCTATATTTGGTGCAAATTGTGTTCCTACATTTCAGATGCTAAAAATGCTCTAAGGCCCTGTTCACCTTTCGGTAAGTTACTTACCCGGGTAAATAAAGTTATTTGGATAAGTTTTTCCTAGGAAACACTTACCCGGGTAAGTGCATTACCCGTGTTTTTTTATTTTTCATGTAAATAAGGTAATGACTATTTTAGCCATAAAAATTCATTATTAAAAGTGCCATTTTTGACTCATTCAACTGTTGGCAACTTTCCCCCTATGTGGGAAAGTTATTTACCCACCTAGGAGATGGGTGTCATTTACCTGGGTAAGTGGTACCTAGGAAAATAAACTTTCCCTGATCCCCACAATAAATCTGAAAAAAGAATATGAGATTCTTGGTCAATGGAAACCAAAATCCCATTGACCAACTTTCCCCCCTCTCAAAATTCGAAAAAAGAACACCCCCCAAACACAAGTGCTCAATCACAATGGCTTTATCATTGCAATTCACCTCTGGTGCAGAAGTTGTAACAAATAGGTTTATAATATAGTGCTTTCGAACCATCGTTGACTCGAATGGTCGGACCATTTGGCTTAGGAACCATTCAGACAACTGGTTCTATTCACCCTTAACTTGGTCCTTGGCCAAAAACTGCCAATTTGGCAAGCGACCCACTGACACGGGCAATCTAATTGTCTATCCGTTCAACATTTTTTGGCCATTTTTTATTTTAATTGTTTTTTTTTTAAATTGGAATGATTCATCTGTTCAAACCAGACAATCAAATGCGTTGCCAAAATAATTCCACTTCTAAGTTGGTTTTAAAAACCTTGTCATAATGTATCAGGAGTTCAAAACAAGACTAGATAAAAGACATTTTGTGTTTTGGTAAACGGATAAGAAATCCAAACTCTATCCAAACAAAGAGAAAAGGGGAGGGAGGGGAACAAAAGCCACCAGATTTTGGGTCGATAGTTCAATCGTCTGGCTCGAATGAACGGTCCTTTCTAACAAAAAAAATTTAAAAAGTAATTAAAATAAAAATATTTAAAAACCATTAAATATGCTGAACGAATTGACAATTCGACTGCTTACATCAATGAATCATTAACCAATGGGATTGAATTTGAGGTAAAACAGAAAAGATTTTGGATCCGAACAATCTGACATTTCGGGCCAACAGCGGTTCGACAACCATGCTTTTAACTGAAAGAAATATCAATTCCAAAAATGTTTTATAACTTTTCATGCAACCTTCATGACCAGATGCTTACACGCATGATGCATGAGTGTCATAACACATAACCAAGCAATAAGAGTGGCGTACGTCCAGCCGCGTTTCTATTGAAATGGGCCCTAGTAGACGGTTTTATGTGATCTCATCATCTCTTTTGTCTGATAATTTCCATGTCCAAATGAATAATATCTTGAAAGACAGTAGGCCCCTTATAATTATTGCTTCGTAAACAAACGGTTTTTAAGGGTATATTTGGTTTGAAGGAAAAGATAAAGGAAAATAAGGAAAAAGTAGGAAAACCAAACACAGCGTAAGGTCTCAAAATTTTAAGTAACCAATTCGGTTTCGTACTTTCGTCGTTTATGATTATATACTTTGTACATTATTAAATATTAAAATATATTTTTTACGCAATATCCAATATAACAATATAAGCTTATTAGTTATTATAACTCTATCAATGTGAACTTATCTTATGCGATGTAATAAAACCTTTGTTAATCATTCATGGTCATGGAGCCTGCTGATGATGAATGTTAGAGTTTGGATCTAATCACAATACATTGCTAGTGACAGTCATCTAGTTGCACATTAGGAACATTGGTTGTATTTTAACATCACTCATATTTTTGACATGCAGTTGGGTGAGCATGGTCAGTTATGTGTTTGGTCTATAGATCTAGACAAAACATTATAAAACTTAGGGTATATTCGTTTCCTCTTAACTCTTATTTCTTAAGAGTAATCTTTTAACTTTAAGAGAAAATTGATCGTTCGTTTCCTCTTATTTCTTAAAGTACAATCATACAACTTTTTATTTTCCAATGATATAAAAAAAAAGCAAACAAAAACTCTCATATATGGGATCAAAATGGATATTTAATAGTTTTTATAATTCAAAATTCAGAACAACATTCTTTGTATTTAGAGTTCACGGATACCAATATACCTCTTAATGTAATTATTACACTTTCAGATGTCAAACTTCAAAGCAAGCCTTACTACATGACAATTAAGGCTCAGTTTGGAAAAAATATAAATTTATAGAATGCAAAATCTTGTCTTTTATATTATTTTGTATATATTTGTATTTATACTTTTTTCAAATTGAGCCTAAAGGAATAACAAACAATGAAAGAGATTAATTTAGAAAGTCCATTCTTTCATTCATTGTGGTCAAAGGCCATTTGAGACTTTATGTTTTCTTTTAATTGACTTGATCACATCACTTTAAGCATACACTTTCGTTTAAGTACCACATAAACGAAACAGAAATGCAACAAAGGAAACGCGAAAATAATATTTCCTTTAAATGTAATTTTCACATAAAAATACAAATTATTTATATGATATCAGCTTACCAAACAAGATTCAAGCATAATTCCTTGTATAACACGTAGAACAGAATCATAACAAACACATAACACCTGAACACCATGATACCAAACACCCACATTGTCTCTCCTTTCATATAAACCAAGTAGGAAGGGGGAATTTGTTCTTTCCAGTTTCCACTCCCCGTTTTCATCTGCTCCATAGTTTTGGATGCCATTGTCCTAAATTCTTTTTAGTTCTTTGTAACAACTTCATTGTCTTTAAAGAATCGAAAGAAGATTTTTTTTTTCTTTCTTCTCTTCTCTATTTTGTTTCATTATAGTTTTTTTTTTCAATTTAAAACCTAATACTAATATTGAAGATAAGAAAAGAAGAATATTTTTCTTTTAATATGGATATAAAGATTCATTATGCAATACGCAAGCATCTTTTTCTTAAGTTCTGTTTGGTTAATTTATTATAATATAACAGATAAGCTCTCACAGAAAGTTGAGGGCAAATCACTTAGGAATCTCATAAAATAATAGCCTTCCCTCAACTTACTATTTCTCTTAATTTTTTATAAACCAAACACAGTCTTAAATATTAGTGAATAAAAAATTGTAAATGAGCCATGAACTGAGAATGAATGACGTTCAATTCAGTTGCCTTTTGTATTTTCCCACCGTGCAGTTCTTCTCTTTTACTTGGTTGCCAACTTGTCACTCCAAAGTGGAGTGTTGGATGTGGGAGTTTCCTATTTCTCTCCGTATATATTCAAGAATCCACGCTTGCTGCGTGAATAATGCCAAGTTGTAATGTGGACCCATTTAGAGTATAGTACAGGTGGCACCGCGTATTCCCTAGCTACTCTCTCACAACGATAAATCTCTAATTTCGTGAAGCTGTCTCTTGGACTCCACAACCTTTTCTTTTCCTTCGCAAGTTGTCTTCAATTCATTTTCTTCATGACTATTAATATTTTTAAATCATTTTTAACTTTAATTTATCAATACTATTGAATTTCCAAGTTCAATTAGAATTCGACGGATAAAACGAATCAAATTTGGATCTTTGTATATCAGATTTGGGAATCTCCATTCCCACTCTATAAACTGTCACACCAGATCTCTACCCACAAACTCTTTCCTACCCACAATACACCATCTTCTAATACGTGATGCATCAGGTATAATCCAATTCATAAATGTTTTGGACTGGATTGATCGAATTTAATGTTTTATTGGACCATCTAACATGTTTAAAATGGTTTTAATTCATATTGAGAGCCAACCCAAACCAGGTCCATTGATCACTATACTTTTATCTTCTGTCATGGATTGGATATTGGTTCAATCTATTCTAGTCTAATATAAATTCATTATGGATGGATCAGGTCCAATTCAATTTAATAAATATTTTGGGCCATTAAGCCTTGATTGATCCAATTCAGTATACCTTATTAGACCATCCAACTCAATCAAATTGATTTTGATTCCAATAGGGTCCAATCTAAATTTGATCCATTGACAACCCTATTCTTATGAGAATATTCCCCACTTTAAACGTTTCTTACTTTTATTGTTTAGTTGGACTTCACTTTAAACGTTTTTTACTTTTTACATCAGATTAATATCCATTAAAATGTGATACATCAATATTTGGTTTCAAGAAACACTAAAACATTAGGAAAAATAAAAATTTAATATAACTATATTTTTTTAATAAACGTCCAGATCTGAGCTATACGAACTCTCCCCTCCCGGAGTCCAATTCTTGCCGTGTGAGATCTGAGATTAGGGATTATACGTAGTGATTTTTTTTTTATTTTTTAATTTCTTCTTCTTTGACTCATCAAATGCATGGAAGTATTGATAGCAATTAATTACTGACAATCCAAAACATGTAATAAATACCCCAGCAGTCAGCAGATCAGCCTCCGAATTACACGGGTTTTGGAGGCAATGACGCTCACAACCTGTAAGTGTATGCCTGGCTGTCCCTCTTGGACAACAATTCTACAGCTCTCTCTCTCTCTCTCTCTCATACATTTCACATTAAACCAGAGAGAGAGAGAGAGAGGTGCCTTCACTTGAAAGAACCAACAAGTACGAAATCATGGATGTTTCCTTGTAATTTACACAAACATTTGTTTCCAAGAAACAATGATTGGAATTTTTGGGGTTTGGAGACAACAGCGGGAAGCAATGTCCTGCCAAAAGTCGCAGCTAAGGCCCCAACTCAACTCAACTCAACTCATCTGATGGGCGTTGTATTTGTAGGGCCCATTGCTTGGTACTTGACCACTTTTCGTATGACCCATTTCTCCTTTCCCTCTCATTATACCACACTTGCTTTGGTTAACACCGGAATAACAAGTGGTAGAGATGTAATATTTGAGCACTCCAGAGGGACAAACCTGGAATACACAACATACCCTGATTCCCCCACAAAACCGTGTTCTTTCCGAGGCTCCACCGCCCATGTGGCCATCTTCATATTTTCAGTTTTCTTGAGTAACCAACCAAACACTCTCTCACATACATGATATTACCGCGTATCAAACTCTAATGTATATAAATATATATGTCCTCTCCTTCGTCAGACTCATCAGACTCCACCAAACAAGCTTGAGGTTGTTCAGCGACGACAATCTTTTCGAAACCCAACATCTCTTACAGGTTAGGTTTGAGATTGATTGTTTCGTGATTTCGTCATCTGTCTGCAACTGCTACTGCTTCTCTGATACTACCAAAACCCAGTTGAAAATGGCGAAGAAGAAAACGAGTTTGGGTCGCCGAGCATGGAATCTATTGCGTTTGGCCTTGTTATGGGCCAGAAAAGGCGGATTACTCAAACGAGGGCTTATGATGGACCTTCGCATCCTGCCCAACTACATCAAGAGCCTACGCAACACCGCCGCTCGCGACTCCATTCGTTACGGTGAGCGGGAGCTCTCCTTCGACGACACGCCGCTCTTCCACTTCAAAACGCCGCACCGTCCGGCATCACGCAGGTTTCATATCCCATGTATCAATATTCCACCCGTCGATTTCGATTTCGATTTCAGGGATGACTACTGCAACGACCACGATAAGAAAGATGGCGCATATAACCAACGTGGTAGGAGGAGTTTTCCAGGAGAAGAAGAAGAAGAAGAGAGAGATTATGATTGTGAGGGAAGTAGGGATGATGAGCAAAACTCCGAATTGGTGCCATGCGGAGAAGAGGAAGAAGGGATTGATCTCAGGGCGGAGGAGTTCATAGCCAAGTTCTACGCACAGATTAAACTGCAGAGACAGATTTCATATCTACAATACGATGAGATGCTAAGTAGAGGCGCCAGTTGATGAAGATGAATGCACAAAAAGAGTACTGATGCATGGAGTACCGTAAGCCTATAAATTCTATTTGATTAGATTTTTTAATTCGTTGTCTCGTTCATTCTTATATATGTAGTAGAACTTAGCGGGCGTTGCTGTAAATACCAGAGTTGTTGAAAGCTAGCTCCATCTGGAGGCTGTCAGATTGATTAATTGTTTACATTTTCGGAATAGATATTTAATAATATTGTATCCATATTGAATTGAATTGATAGAATAATTTGTCATCAGTTTGTTAAATCGAATGTTTTGTGATCGTTGATGTTGAGAAAAGCCGTCTGATAACGCAGTTTAATTATAGCTTAGAGCCTTAAACATATTAATATATATACCGATCCTGAAAACCACCATGGATCATGACTCACGACTATGAAGTCCGAATGCAATATTAGCTCTGCTGATGGTGCATGCCCATAGTGACTCTTCTTGGACACAAATCTCTGGTTTGGTCATGATTTTCAAAATTTTGGTGATAATCGTAGAATTTCTGGTTATGCCATCTTCTTTTCCTTCATAATTCATTTTCCCTATAATAAAAAAAATTAAGTACTTAGGCTGTGCAAGCCGATGCAAAGTTCTTGAGATTAATTAAATGGGAACATATGTTTCATTAACTTAGATGATCGAATATTTATAAATTAAGAGTAACTGATTTTGCACACGTGGCTGATAACTCAAGTAGAATGAGAAATTGTTCGTCTCTTCTTCTTATTGTTTTTCCTTTGCACGGGTTAAGAAATATATATACAAATATCTCCTAATTATACATAGATTCTGGTTCTACCTCTCCTGATTACATACAACTTAGGCTGAGAGTTATCCCTGAATTCAAGGGATATCCCCTAGTTTTATAGCTCATGCCAATACTCTCCCTCACGTTGGTGCGTACAGATCTTGGACGCCCAACTTGCCAAGTGAGTTGTAAAAGTTTTTACTGGATACAGCCTTTGTAAGTATATCTGCCAGCTGGTCTTCAGATTTGACAAAGGGAAATCGAATGGTTTTGTCTTCGATATTTTGTTTGATGAAATGTCAGTCCACCTCCACATGCTTTGTTCGATCGTGTTGGACGGGATTTTGAGAGATGTCAATGGCAGCCTTGTTGTCGCAGAATAGGTCCATTGCAGAGGTTGGGGGAAAACCAATTTTAGTCATTAGTCTTCTCAGCCAGAGTAGCTCACACAGCCCTTTAGCCATTCCTCGAAACTCAGCTTCAGCACTTGATAGGGCCACGACCTTCTRTTTCTTACTCCTCCATGTAACCAGATTTCCTCCGACGAATGTAAAGTACCCCGAGGTGGATTTTCTATCTGAGACATTTC